AGTTTGGAAAACAACTACCTGCACTAAGTCAATGTGAATTACATTGGAAAAGGCTATATATTAGTGGAAGGAACTGGCTAACTACCTCTGAGTTTTCCTTGCTTAAGAAACTCTATGAAATTCACAAGATTGCCATAAATTGCCAAGTGACTTCATGGAGCACACAATACACACATATATAGAGCTTTTCCCTGCAAGCCGGTAACTCTTGTTTGATTCTGAGTGTTGATGTCCAAAAAGCTAATATTTCCAAGTGCTGTCAAAAAGTAAGTACAATCATGTTCCTCATTCATGGATTTAATCATATATAGCTTGAAAATAAGACAAACACCCCACAAATATCAAAAAAGCAAACCTTGATTTTACCCTTTTATATAAGGGACATCATTTTATTCTGGAATTGCATAACCATATAATGGAACCTGAACATCCATAGATTTGGTATCTATGGTAGATACCAAGGGCTGCATAGCTATTTACATGGAAGGCCTATGTGGCTATTAACTCTGAGCATCTATTAGGGGTCTTGCAACCAGTATGTGATGGGAAAATGAAATAATTGTCCTTTCAAATGAGAATTCTTCTTTTTGAACAAAATTTTATTTCACTGAGTCCCCAGATTTTTAGTACTGCATAGTGAGATACTGAGAATCATTCACACTTTGAACTTCCATGTTTTCTGTGCTCTTATTCCCATCATAACTTTGCATGTCCTTTTCCTTCAGGTATCTAAACTCTATTTATACATGCTAAGCTGAAGTTTTTAAAGTTACTGCAATGATAGAAATTTGAAGAGCGAAAGAAAATTTCATTTGGGGAATTATGGCCTGACTGTTACACAGTCACTGCATTCCTGGTGGCTTGCTATAAGATTGTGCTGCATATGAAGCAACCATGGGCCAGTATTTACCTAAAAGTAATCAAATAAATGTTTTGTAACATTACTAGAATGGGAAGTATCATCTCCACAATGGTATATTTGGTATATATAAAGGATAAGGAATGTGTCTCCCTCCATAGCCTTTCTAGACTGCAATTTTCATCATTTTCATCCAGTATAGTCAATGGTGGGACGTGTAAAACTTGCAGTCTCACAGCAGCTGGAATGCATCCTATTATACACATGTATATACAGAAGCGACTAACATTGAAAGCCAACCAAACTGTATAGGATCACAGCTTTATTCTGGATCAGGTAAAATGGGATACCAATTGGTGGGTCCTCCCAATGTTGCTGAGTGGACATTCCCAGCAGCCCTTACTATTGGGGTGGCTTTAGCACAGCAGGTTAATCAACAGCTGCAGTAAATCTTGCCAAAGTTGACAGTTTGAACCCGGGTCAGGGTGAGCTCCTGAACTTCAGTCCAGCTCCCCGCCCACCTAGTGGGTCGAAAACAGCAATGTGTGTAGGTAAATAGGATCCAGATTAAAAGCGGGGAAGTATTTTGGGCACAGTGTTTCAGAAAAGGAGAAAAGTTTATGAACAAAGTAAGCTCTTCGGCAAGGAGATGGAGCAACAAGGATGCTGAAAGATGAGAAAACCTATATATATACCTTTATCTGTTGTCTGTCTTCTTATTCGATAATCAGCATTGAATGTTTGCCGTATATGTCTTCTGTGATCTGCCCTGAGTCTCTTTCAGGGTGAAATATAAAAACTATAAATAAAATAAAATAAAATAAATTGGCTATGCTTGCTTCGTACGCTAGGAGAGTATTTAAGAATATTCCCAACCCAATGTAGACAGTTTTGGATCCATGTTCAGAACCCTAGTCTCAGCATATTTTTGCTATGTGTTTCTTGCCACTTTAGTTTGGTGAATATGGATAATCTGCAATTATTATGGTAATACACTAAAATTATTCGACAGATTCTGATTCTGCACATTTACCATAATATATACATAAGTTTCTCTTGAGCAATGGCAGAGGAATAATTTATCCTGCATATTAAAGAACAGCTGAAATTGGAATCAGGAAGCAGAATCCAAATAGTTTGAAAATTCATTTGAAAAGCAAACCCCAATTTACAGTATACAAATATGCAGATACACTGAAATGCAGGAACACACTTTCCATCTAAGCACATCTCTGGGAAGTTTAAACCTCCTATTTCTGTGTGTTGAGACCAGGAGCCTGGGATACTTTTGCAAACAGGTGCCAGTTGTTTTTTGTTTACTTAAATTTTGTGCCTCAATAAATATGTTTTGCACCTTCACAGTGTTGTGCATCTTATGTTGCATGATAATAATGTCAATTGAACCCTTTTCAGTTCCATTCAATTGTAGTCAGGCAATCTTTCTTTCCAGGAGGTTGCATTTACCCCCTGCCCCTCCTTTTACAGGTTCTGTGGCCATACAATAATTAACCCTTAAATGCACTGTTATCTTCATGAAGATAAAATATACTTTTTTTTCATGTCAGGAGCAACTTGAGGAACTGCAAGTTGCTTCAGGTGTGAGAAAATTGGCCGTCTGCAAGGATGTTGCCCAGGAGATGCCTGGATGTTTTACCATCCTGTGGGAGGCTTCTCTCATGCCCCCCCCCCCCAGAAGCTGAGAGATGGGATCCCAACCTTTCGGCCAGTTTAACCCATTGTACCACTGGGGGCTCCATAAAATATACTGAATGAATTGATTGAGGTAGATGCTCCTCAATTTTTCATTTGGGGCATTTTTGTATTAAGATGTAGCAATTCAAAACTAACATGCTACTAATGTGTTTCTCTTTAAGTAGTATGTATGCTATATAAAATAAATTATAAGTAAAATCAAGTTGCTTGGAAAATATAATAGTTAGCAAGAAATGGAGGACTTTAAAAATAAAAGAAGAAAATGTACAATGTCTGCATCTGATAGCACATACCTTTCAATTCTTTGGTTTGGCAGAGACAAGCTTGACTAATCCTATTTCATTCCATTTTTTAGTTGTTTTTAAATTTTCTTATTTTTTTTCTTTCCACCTCCCATTCCCTTCCCCTTTGTCTTCATTTTACCTCAATTGATGCAAACTGAGCTCAAAGTGTAAAATGATTTTGTATTCAGTTAACGTGGAGAGGGAAGAGGGACAAATCTTACCTTTTCCAGGAGCCTCAGGCAAAAGCAAACTGTTGCAACCACTCCTAGTCCATCTGTTTTTCTTCATTAATAGCTTGTCTCGTCTTCGACCTCATTGGGTATTGTTATGCCAAGAAGGCCCCTTTAACACGGCCTTATAGCCAAGGATCTGATTCCAGATTATATACTAGTGGAGACCAACATAATCCAATTCAAAGCAGATAATCTGGGATAGGGTATAGGGCAGTGAAGAACCAGCCAAAGTCTTCTATAGCTGGATGCTGTGCTCATCAGTGAAAATATTAGCAAGTCAAACTCTTGATTGGTGAGGTAGTACATTTCATGAAGGCTCCAATTGATAGTAGTTCCCTTTTCTTGGGAGAATGAGGAAATCTCCTTCTTAAAAACTGGTAAGGGAGAGTAAACCATGTTCCCACTGCCTATGCCTTATGCAACTCTTTGTCCCTCTAAACTTGTTTTGAAGGTCTATGGTGTCAACCACAATCTAAGGGGACACAATAGCCAACACATAACAGAATAGTTTTACAAATCAAATCTTGAAGAGTCCCTGACAGTTGTGAGCAGTATATTGTTGGTGTTCATTCAATTTAAGAACAGTGGTGAAACCATTTCCTCTTAAGTGGCTCCTGATTTTAATTCTAACATCTATTGCTTTAGCCCTACTTGGAAAAGAGGTGGCATCACTATTTGCCTCCACATGTTTAATTTATATTACAGTCAGTCCTTCACATTTACTTTTGATTAATATGGTCTCTCTAGAAATCTCTAGATCTTCCAATGTGACACTACAGTCAGCTTCTACCAGAAGTTGATCAGTTGTGGTGGAAGACCTAGGCAAATGGAATTTTTAAATTAGTTTTCCCTCTTTTGAGAGGTCTTGTACTCTTAAACCACAGCCAAAGTGAAAGGCAACCAACACTGCTGACTTCCAAGTCTCCATGCCCCCTATGTTTGTAGGGTTTGTCCCTTAAACATACGAGGCATGGAATCTTGATGACAAAAATAAGTGGGAGAGGTAATGAATACATCTGCAAAATCTGATTTCAAGTATGGAAGAATTTAGCCATTACAACTAAGTGCCTGACACTGTTTCAACAGCCTACAATGACTATTAGAATAGTTGTATGTCCCAGGTTTGACACTGTGCTGCAGCAATCCTATCACTATGAGTAGCGGCTTAAGGAGCTGGGCATGTTTAGCCTGAAGAAGAGAAGGCTGAGAGGAGATATGATAGCCATGTATAAATATGTGAGAGGAAGCCACAGGAAGGAGGGAGCAAGCTTGTTTTCTGCTTCCTTGGAGACTAGGACGTGGAACAATGGCTTCAAACTACAAGAGAGGAGATTCCATCTGAACATGAGGAAGAACTTCCTGACTGTGAGAGCCGTTCAGCAGTGGAACTCTCTGCCCCGGAGTGTGATGGAGGCTCCTTCTTTGGAAGCTTTTAAACAGAGGCTGGATGGCCATCTGTCAGGGGTGATTTGAATGCAACATTCCTGCTTCTTGGCAGGGGGTTGGACTGGATGGCCCATGAGGTCTCTTCCAACTCTTTGATTCTATGATTCTAGGACTAGTTTATTTCCAGAAAAGATTTGCCTTCCTCTGAGGCTGACCAAGTATATTTGTTAAGGTCTTCCAGTGTGCTTCCATGACTAAGTGGAATGTGAACCCTGGTCTCCCAAAGTCATAGCTACTACACCACACTATCCCAAACCATTAAAATAGTTGCCTTTAAAATAAGTACACCCTCAAGATTCTGCATAACCAGATGCCTCTTATCTCTTCTTGTGTTTGAAAGGCATGCATTTTTTGTACAAGTGCTTTGAGAGAAGGAGAGGAAAGTGGTTTCCCATCACCAATTTCATTTCGGTGACAGCTCATAAGGGCATATGTGGAAAATAAATTGACAAAAGAACACAGACAAAACACAGAGTGCTTCCTTTATTTTCCAAATACAATTTCAAAAGCAAAATAAACCTCTCTGTTCCATGATTTACTGGAAACAAAATTTATAGTATGCATGTTATTAGATAAATAATTCCATATTTTTATGTAGTCAGCTTCCCAGCGTAGTCAGCTTCCCAGCATTAGCTGGAATCCACTGCCATTTTATGGAAGGACTTGAAGTGCTATTTGAACCACGGAGTAAGAGTGCCACCTACTGGCAATATTTTGTTCTGAGTACAGTTGAACTACATAAAAATTATTTCAATGCTTAGTGAACATTATCACTATTTGGCACTTGGGGTTATTATATTTGATAATGTGAATACAAAGACATTCAAACACCACTTTACCAGTGTCTGATGTGGCATTGTCATAGCATTAAAGACAAATGGAGACTATGAAATACATGTTATACACTGCGTGTTTTTTCAGTGAGCGCACATCAAAGGAGGAAAAGATGTATGGCTTACACTCCTGAAGTGCCATACCACTGATAGGATGAATGCACACTTCACTCTTGTTTTGTAAATTGTTACAAAAACTAAAGATGATGATGAAGGGACACAGGATGGCTTCCAGAGCAACAGACAAACATTCAGTGCTACATACTTAATCATAAAAGATAGTTGGGTTTCCTGGTGTAGTTGGCAAACTGAACAAAAAGATCTCTACTGTTCAAGGTTTAATTATTTGCAAGATAGTTGAAGATACAGAAAAGCAAGGTACATCTCCGTCCCAAGAGACGCATGCGCGTTGACACAGGGCACTGGGTTGAAATGGGAGAATGAACATCACTACTGTCTTTGTCCATACACTCCTTTTCTCTTATTTGGCATCAAGTTACATTTCCCTTTTGGTATTTTTGTCCGCATTTGTTAGCTGAGCTTTCTTCCCAATGATCCTTAACAGGACACATTGTGCTCTTTATAGCAGGAATGAACTACAACCAATTTGGAAAGAAACTAAACACAAACAAGCAACAATGACACATGCCTGATTAGAGCAGATATATAGGAGGAGGGCAGAGCTGACCAGATGTTAGACCATATGATAAGTACCAAAAGTCATGGAGCAGTATTACAAATGGGCATTTATATGGTACAGCTGGCTATGCATAATCTCTTAATTTATGAGTCTAATGCATCTGCTGTTTTGCTGTCACTCTATCAGATTCCACTGTCTTTCCCCCTACAACTCTGCATGCATGTTGTATCTTTTGAGCACCACGTTTTAAATAGCTTTCCTTCCAGTGAGTGAAATAGTCTTGTAATTTGCTAACGCATTTTCATAATGTCTTCAGTTGTGCACACAATAATCTAAGAATAAATAAGGCCTTGTGGGATTTCCTTCTTGATTTCCACATTCCTTTTCGTGTTACAGATGACTGTTTACCCAAAGGCTAGAGCTTAAAATCTCTGCTGGTTGTCTCTAGTGTAGTGCTCAGCCATGGCTCAAAGCAAGTTTTAGCATTTTACTCTCTCGCTAAGAAAAAAGAACACAAGCAACTAGAAGTGAATAAAATATGCTCTTTACATATTAGGTTTCTATACAGGAATGTGGATGGAAAAGATACCCAATAATGAAACATTACATGACTGAATGAAGTTAAGCTCAATGAGAGACAACTGAAGGAGCAGTGTATGTTTACCCTAGAGAAGAAATGACAGTCAAGTGATAGGACTGTTAATTTCAAATACATGAAGGATTGTCACAGGGAACAAGCTGCTGAATAAACATTAGGAAAAACCTCTTGACATGAAAATGGGTCAGACACTGGAATGGGCTGGGCCCAAAGAGTAACAGATTCTCCATTTAAAAAGAAGTTGGATGGCCACCTCTCAGGGCTGAGGCTTTCCAGTACTAGCTGCTCAGTGGACTTTTGCTCAGAAGTCTTTCCAAGTCTATATCCTGTGGTTCTGTGGGGGTACTGAGTGATGACTGGGTACGGAGTGCTATTGTTTGAAAGGCTATTGTCATGTCTGCTACATGTCCCAACCTTTTCACGTCACAGGAAGAGAGTCTCTTATCTCCTGAAGTCAAACTCAGGGGATGAGAAAGGGGATATATATAGTAACAAAGACGGACTTGAGAAGGATTCAGTACAGCAGCCTTAACTTGAGAATGTAAAATATAGAGACAGTATGTCCAACCACATGTTACTTCTTTTTCATCCACAAGGACTTCAGGACTGCAAATATTTGCAGGACATTGCCCTGAATGGTTATATAAGTGCTTATGGTTATCAGTACTGTTTTCTTAGAAGAGGAGCATCTTCTATTGGCCTCAGGCACCCTATGTAACCATCGAGTTTCCTTCAGAGACTGAGTCATCCCAATGGGGCTTGTCATACCCGGATATATTTCTCCAGCGAACAGGTAGCAGCACATCTTTTTTGGGAAGATCTGCATATGGATCAGTGTTTTCCATTTCTTCTTGGCCACTGATAGATTTAAAATAATTTTCACTATCTTCAGGATTTTTCTCTCTTTCAGAAATCTCCACAATCACACCTTCCTGGATACATGTCCCTTCTGTTTTACTTAAAGCGCTTTCGGAGTCATAAGGATCCACCTCTTTGCCAGAGGTACTGAGATCAGTGGCCTTAATCTCTGCTACAGCATCCTCTTGTTCCAGGGATTTTTCATTTTCATTCGTAAGCAACACTTCATTAGACAATGATGAAATTAAGGAGAAATTTTTGGGTTCCTCATTTGTGTCCAAAATGTTGCCTTTATTCTTTACCACAGCAACCTTAAAATACAAAAAGAATAATCAGTACATTATCTCTCTCTCAAAAAAAAAAACCCAAACAACTGTCAATCAGATTAAAACAGAGAGTCAGTAGTACACCAATCTAGGGATTGTCCCATTTCCTCCTTGATATCATCACTCCTAGATTTTGAAAACATTACATCCCAAATCATCCAATTTTTCTTCCTGCAAAGGAAAAGCAGAAATTCCAAGAATACAAAGAGGTAATTTTATTAAAGCAGTTCCAATTATCTGTGGAACTGGGAAGAGGGTGGTTCTTCATTAATTGAATCTCTCATAAGGATGTAAATCTTCATTTATTTCATTCTTGTAAGCAAGAATGAATAATTTGGACAATTTTCTTCCCACTTTTAATTCTTCAAAACATGCTACCTATAACTCGTGGCAGGCACTGCTTTGTGGGAAAAATAAATGGTGACAGCCACCTAATTTAACTATGTGAGACCAATGCTCCTGTCAGCATCACTGCTAGCTTATACCCCCCATCCCACTGGTGATCTGGCCCAAGAGGAAACGCAATAGCAAAGGTGAAGGGACTGTTTTTGGGATACTAAAATCGTGTCCATGCCAGGAATACAGTGGCTCTTGGCACTAGAGTAAATCCAAATGAAGGAGTGTAAGTTCACTCCTGGTCTTGAATCACAAAATCCTTGAGTTGGAAGAGACCTTGTGGGCCATCCAGTCCAACCACCAGAGTTGTTTGAGGAGTAGTTTTCTCTGCTTACCCAGAGAAAACTATTCCTCTGGGTAAGCCGAGAAAACTACTCTTACCCAGTGAATTTTCTTGAAACCTATATGCTGCTTTGAGAGCCTCATGGTTTAGAAAATATGCTGTCAATATTATACAATAAATAATATTTGTTATCAGGACTTGAAGAAGAATGAAATATTCTTAGATTCCTAGAAAAGACTTACAAGAGGTCTGGGAAGTTTAATGTTTTTCTTATGCATCCATCTGAAGATTATTACAAGAACAGCCACCAAAAGAAGCAATAACACAACCCCAATGATTAAGGTCAATCTTGAACCTATAAAAACATTAAAAAAGAGAGACATGTTGATACATTAAGATTTCATATCCCTACTACTATTTCGTTTGTAGTTTGTTACACATTTCAAAGCAGCAAGATTATTTGCAAGCAAGTCAAAGGGCTCTTTGGCAGTGCCCAACTGGTTTGAACAGCCTTCTGGAAATGAGTCTGGATCCAAGGATGTTATGTCTGCGCTCTAGGAAAGCATGACAAAGCGACTTTTAAAATCAATGCCACTTATGAAGCATTTCTGTCTGTTAAAAGTGTGAGATGGACAAGAATTCACTGGGTGACACTGAGGAAATTCATCACGAGCAACAGCTTTATGCCGTTCACATCATTTCTCTCCTGCCAATGAGAAACCAGGAAGATGCATTGTGAGAAGGGACTTACTGAATATCTGGATCACAGGCAGCTGCACAACAAGTTGCTATATTTATGAAGTCATAGCTGTATGTAACAGGAAAGAGTAAAATGTTTGCTTCTGGCACCTAAAAACCCGGTCAACAGACACACAGAATAACTAAATTAGGATTCAAAATGGTTCTGTTAAAAGTTTGTATAGGATGTCATAACTAAAGCAACAGCTATAGGGCTAAGCCAGAATGAAGCACTGGTTAACTGCCTGCAAGTGTTCATTCCCAGGAGGTGCAGAGGATGAGTCTACTAAGTCCATCTCCTGATCTCAGTGAACATTCACTAGAGGATTAATAAACTACATTAATCAGAAAATCGCATAGGCAATCTCAGCCTCAACCTCAATGCCTGTCTAGAACCAAATAGGCTACTTCAACTGCAACTACAGAGTTGTATCCATGAGGTCTAAGGCTGTGCCAAATGGTGGTAGTATTGCAGGCTGCTGCCTCTAGATTGTAATAGCAGGTATATGTGTTTTTTCTTGGAAGTAAGCAATACTAAATATTGCTCACTTCCACTGCACAATTCTGGAAAGTTACAATTCTTCCTGCTGCTGTCATTCAGCCCAACCACTATTTAATTTCTGGCATGATGCTATGACCTATCAGCTGAGAGTAACTGGTCTAAAAATATGACACCTTGCCACTCCAGATTTCAATTCCAAGTCTGATGGGCTCATTCAACAAGCAGTCATATAAGGCTGTTTTATTTACAACCGATCCTATAAACTAAATGCATGTGACCCCAAAGCAGTTACAATCTGAGAATCCTTATTTGAAATGCTTGGAACCTGAAATGTTTGATTTCAGATTTTTTGGGGGCGGGGGGATTGCATATACCATACATACATACATACATACATACATACATACATAATGAGATATCTTGGAGGTGGGATCCAAGTCTGAACACAAAATTCATTTATGTGTTCAGACATACACATAACCTGCAAGTAATTTTATATAGAATATTTATTTGGAGCAGTATTTTTGCACACAAAAGAAGATTTGTGTACACTGAAACATCACAATTCAAAGGGTTCACTATTTCAGCCACACATGTGAGCATTTTGGAATTCCAGATCTGGGACTCCCAACCTATGTCATCAAAATTGAACAAAGAACACAATGATGCATAATAATACAAGTGTCTGCCCATAAGCCTGGAAGATTTGTAATTGAACCAGGTATAAACTGAGAAAAGCAACTGCTAGAAGGACAAGGACCAAAAAAGCCTCAGTAGTAAAAAAAAGCATAACAAAAACCCACACAGAAGTAATGTCATCGCAGAAATGTTAAGTAATAAGCAGGTCTGATGCCTTCAGCTACAATCTCATGTTAATTCCTTCTTTTCAAAATATGTGTAATTTGTAGAAAGGCAATATTTAAAACATTTAAAAATATCTTTTCTAAGGTATCAATTCAAGGTGCAGGTGCTTACCTACAAAGCCCTAAACGGTTTGGGACCAGCCTACCTGCATGACCGCATCTCCGTTTATGAACCCACGCGTTCTCTTTGCTCATCCAGAGAGACCCTGCTCGCGATTCCACCTGCGTCGTAGGCGCATTTGGTGGGGACGCGGGACAGGGCCTTTTCTGTGGTAGCCCTCCGACTTTGGAACACCCTCCCCAAAGACATCAGACAAGCCCCTACGTTGGCAGTCTTTAGGAAGAGCTTGAAGACCTGGCTGTTCCGGTGTGCCTTTCCAGAATAGGAAAACTCCAGCAATACGTCCCAGAAGCACTTTATCAGAGTTTTAAGATTACCTGCACACTGCACTTACCCTAAATTCCGACATACCACCTGTCACACCCAGCACTTTTTAACACGTACCCATCACATTTGGCCCAGCCCTAGTTTTTATTGTGTTATGGTGTATTGTTTTTTGTTGTTTTGTTATTGCTTTAATGTTTTGATTTGCTTTAAGTTGTGTATTTGTTATGCTGTTGTTTTATTGAGGCCTTGGCCTTTGTAAGCCGCATTGAATCCTTCGGGAGATGCTAGCGGGGTACAAATAAAGATAATAATAATAATAATAATAATAATAATAATAAATAACATAAAAATATCTTAGAAAAGAAATGATAAACTCGAAAAATTAGGGATCCAGTAAATAATAAATATCCATACTATAATAGCCTATTCTCTATATTCTTAATCTTTTTAACAGATTGTAAATTGGTCACAGGAATTTGCTTTTATTTAATAATGGTAGTGCAACATCATAAATAATGGCAGAATCAGCAATATTTCAGCAAAAGCTCCTCCCTCCTTTTTGTGACTGCTGATAAATTCTTACTGTTCCACTGAGAATTTCAATAAATGCTTTTTTAACACCAAAATACATTGCAAATTTAAACTCAGTAAGACACCACTGCCAGAAAACTGGTTCCTAATGAACTTTATAGCAACATTAATCACAACCAACCAGATGTGAAGTGCAGTCCCACTATACAATGACATTATTGATTGGGTTGCTGTGAGTTTTCCAGGCTGTATGGCCATGTTCCAGAAGCACTCTCTCCTGAGCCTGGAAAACTCACAGCAACCCAGTGATTCTGGCCATGAAAGCCTTTGACAATGATATTATTGATTATCACTTGAGTGTGTGTCGGGGGGAGGGAGTGTGCCAAAGAGATTTCTTAGGAGTTTATCACATGGGGCAAGAAAATCGCAATTACGCTTGGATAACAGCATCTTTAGCTCAGACGTCTCAAATTACTTTGCTCCACCACTACCACTCTCTTGCTGGGACATAGCCTGGAAAGCACTTATTTCACAAACAATTCATTATTGACCTCCTTCTGTCAAAGAAATACTTTTCAAGGGTCTTCCATAGAGACAGTGGCAGGAAAGGATTGACAGCATCCAAGGCAAAGATGCTATTGCAATTTGCTTGCCTTCTGCAATTAACTTCCTTGTTTGTTAAGTAATCCAGTTTTACATGGTTTTTGTTCTTCTTCTATCCGTGCTTCTATTAATACAGAGCTTCTGACAATATTTTAAGCCCTTCTTGCCACCCAGCATATACATAATTACATAAAACATTGTTGCTTTCTGGTACAATCCTCCAGTTGTAGAAATGCTGGCTAAGGTCCCATTCAACACTGATGGAATAACTCCTGTGTAGAGATGCTTCCTTGTGTGAATAGTTGGAGTAGCATGAATTGTGTAACCATGAAATCCTGGGTCCATATTGATTTTGGTTAGTAATTTCTCCAATAAATGTTAATATTAAAATGAAGGAAGAATGACTGGTTTTAAAATAATATGTTCTCCTGTAGTCTCAACAATGCCTTTGTGGTAACACAAAGACCTGAGGCTAGTCAAGGGTTTACTTCTCAGATTCCATTTTATTCCACTGAAACTATATCAACAACATTTGGAAATGCTGCGGTTTGTTTATTTTAAATCAAAGTTCTGGAAAAAAAGACCCAGATTTTTGAATGTAAGGGCCATCAGAAGAGGAGCCACCAATCTTTTGCAGTGGTGGCTGACAAGATTATAATCTATAGATTAAAATGACTGTATCATGAGAAGACACCTATGACTGGTAAGGCTGAATACTTATTTATAGTAGCTGCTTCCTTAGAGACTGAAATGGAGACACGGTTCAGGTCCAGCCTATTTACGCGACCCATCTCCCCCTTTGAACCAGTTTGGGCCCTAAGATCTGTTGGGGAGGCCCTCCGCACAGCCCCACCTCGGTCACAAGTGGGGTTGGAGGGGAGGAGGGAGAGGGCCTTCTCACTAGTGGTCCCCCAACTCTGGAATGCCCTCCCCAGGCAGATTAGACAGCCCCCATGCTATCTGTTTTTTTGGAAGGAACTTTTTTTTCTGTGTCAGGAGCAACTTGCGAAAGTGCAAGTCACTTCCGGTGTGAGAGAATTGGCTGTCTGCAAAGACATTGACCAGGGGATGTTTTACCATGCTGTGGGAGGCTTCCCTCATGTCCATGAGATGTTGGAGCTGACAGACGGGAGTTCCCCAAACCATCAACCTTTTGATCAGCAGTCCTGCCAGCACAAGGGTTTAACCCATTGCACCACCGGGAGAACTGAAAACCTGGCTATTCAAATGAGTGTATGAAAATGAGCAAACTTAATGCCATCCAACAGTTGGAAATATGAGAAAATCTAAAACTGGACCTTACTGTTTCTTTTTACTAGAATAGTGGCTGGAATTTTTAATGAATTATGTCTTATGTAATTTTAAAATGCTACTTTGTTTTTCTATTGTTTGCCTACCGTATATTCCGGCATATAAGACGACTGGGCGTATAAGACGACCCCCCAACTTTTCCAGTTAAAATATAGAGTTTGGTATATACTCGCCGTATAAGACCACCCCTCTTCCATCGCACACCAAATAAAAATAAAAAATAAAAACATCAGATTTGATTTCAAATCCAAGACTATCAAAGCAGTATCCAGCTCTTCGGCTTAGAAATGGAGATGAGCGCCAACCCCCAGAGCCGGACACGACTGGACTTAACGTCAGGAGAAAACCTTTACCTCACCTGTAAACTCCTGTATGTTTATTATTTATTTAACAGTTGTGGATCCATGGAGCGTAATAAAGTTCTATAAATTTTTACCTTACCTTACCTAGAGTGAGACCAGGGCCGGGTCCAATGTCCTTTCCACAACAACAACAACAATAATGGAAATCTAGAATTGGAAGGGACTCCAATGGCCATCCAGTCTAACCCTAATTCTGCCAGACAGGAACACATGTCCAAGCCCTCCCGACAGATGGCCATCCTGTTCTACTTAATAATAGCAATAACAACAATAATAGCAATAACAACAACAATAATAATAGAAGGGACCTCAATGACCATTCAGTCCAACCCCATTCCTGCCAGGCAGGAAGACACAATGCAAGCCTTCCTAACAGGTGGCCATACAACTCTGCTTAACAATAACAACAACAGAACGCTAGAGTTGGGACTCCAATGGCCATCCATTCCAACCCACTCACTCCTGCCAATGCAAGCCTCCCCAACAGGTGGCCATCCAGTTCTAGTTGCCATATATACTCGAGTATAAGCTGACCCAAATATAAGCTGAGGCACCTAATTTTGAACAGAAGCTCTCCGAAGCTCTAGGTGCTCTTACTGCCTATTACAGGGAAAACCAGCTGATCCCTAATCCATCTAAAACACAGACATGTGCTTTCCACCTTAAGAACAGACAAGCATCCCGAGCTCTGAGGATTACCTGGGAAGGAATCCCACTGGAGCATTGCAGTGCACCCAAATACCTGGGAGTCACTCTGGACCGTGCTCTGACCTACAAGAAGCACTGCCTGAACATCAAGCAAAAAGTGGGTGCTAGAAACAATATCATACGAAAGCTGACTGGCACAACCTGGGGATCACAACCAGACACAGTGAAGACATCTGCCCTTGCGCTATGCTACTCTGCTGCTGAGTATGCATGCCCAGTGTGGAACACATCTCATCACACTAAAACAGTGGATGTGGCTCTTAATGAGACATGCCGCATTATCACGGGGTGTCTGCGCCCCACACCACTGGAGAAATTACACTGCTTAGCCGGTATTGCACCACCTGACATCCGCCGGGAAGTAGCAGCCAATAGTGAAAGGACCAAGGCAGAGACATCTCCAGCTCATCCCCTGTTTGGGTATCAGCCAGCACGTCAACGACTTAAATGAAGACATAGTTTTCTTAGATCTACAGAGACACTCGCTGGAACACCCCAGCAAGCGAGAGTCCAAAAGTGGCAGGCCCAAACCCAGCACCTCAATTCATGGGTGATACCAGATGAGAGACTCCCCCCTGGGCACTCAGAAGACTGGGCGACTTGGAAGGCGCTGAACAGATTGCGCTCTGGCACCACGAGATGCAGAGCCAATCTTAAGAAATGGGGCTACAGGGTGGAATCCTCGGCATGCGAGTGCGGAGAAGAACAAACCACTGACCACCTGCTGCAATGCAACCTGAGCCCTGCCATATGCACAATGGAGGACCTTCTTGCGGCAACCCCAGAGGCACTCCAAGTGGCCAGATACTGGTCAAAGGACATTTAACCAAATACCAAATTTACAAAATCTGTGTGTTTTTTTTCTTTCTTTTTTTCTTTTTCTTTTTAATCTCTGTGTTTGTTTTGCTCTGTTAGAATTGTAATACAATGGTTGCTGATGACACGATAAATAAAACCTAATTTTATGACCAAAAACTGGGAAAATTTATTGACTCGAGTATAAGCCAGGGGAGGGAAATGCAGCAGCTAGTGGTAAGCTGAGGAGACAGAAGTTGTCATAAAGCCATCTTGTGCAGCTTCCAAAACCCAACACGTGAGAACATTTTGCACTGCAGCCAGATATTTCCAAGGTCATGCCCAAAGGGTTTGATGAATATACCCTTTTTGAGATAGATCTAAATCAGGCATGGGCAAACTGTAGCCCTCCAGGTGTTTTGGACTTCAACTCCTACAATTCCTAACCTGGACACAGCATATTATCGGAGAACACAGAAATGCTGGACCACTCTCACAACCACCATGTCAGACTACACAGAGAAGCCATTGCAATCCACAAGAAGCATGTGGACAATTTCAACAGAAAGGAGGAAACCATGAAAATGAACAAAATCTGGCTACCAGTATTTAAAAAAAACTCCTCTAAAATCAGGACAGTAAATAAAAAACAACACTCAAAAGCAGGGGAAATCCAGACAATAAAAAATCAGGACCAACTAACACCTCCCAACAAAGGATTCCCCCAGGCAGGAAGCAGCCAGGCTTTGAAGCTGCAAGGCCATTCAATGCTAATCAAGGTAGCCAATGGCAACATTCCCACTTGCCTCAAGCAGACAAGAGTTCTTTCTCCCACCCTGGACTTTCCACAGATATATAAACCCCACTTGCCATGTTTCCAACAGACCTCACAACCTCCAAGGATGCCTGGCATAGATCTGGGCAAAACATCAGGAGAGGACACTTCTGGAACATGGCTATGCAGTCTGGAAAACTCACAGCAACCCAGCCAGTAGCTGTTAGGAATTGTGAGAGTTGAAATCAATCTGATAGAAAACTGGGACTTGTAGATTGGTATGGTACTGGCTCTCTTAAACAGGGAAGGCTAAGGACCTTGTAAAACTACAACTCCTGTGATTCCATGGCACTGAATCTGTGGCAGTTTTTTGGGGGGGATTCCCCTTTAAGAGTAGATGGCCCTTGCACTGGGACTTCCCCTTTAAGGCTGCCTCGCTCTTGGCTGCAGAAACAAAACCAAAGGGGGGAAAGAGACCTTTTTCTTCCTCCCTCTGCAGGCTATTGAAAACTTTGAAAACTTAAGAGCGGCTGTTCTTTCAGAGGGAGCTGAACACAGAGACAGGAAAGAAACCCCAAAGAGGGGAGGGAGAAAGAAGAAGTTTCTCCAGCAGGACTTTCTCGGAGGAGGTGCCTTTGTTTGGACTCTCCTTGAGTAGCACTGTTTGAGGAAGGAGAGGAGAGGGAGAAAGAGGCCGGGAATGGGAGGCTTGGGGGCAGCCTCTTCTGCCCCTTTTTCCTTCAGGAGGAGGACGACGGGGAGGAGGAGGAGCGGCAGCGGCTGCGCTGCTTGGGGATGGCGAGGGGGGAGGAGGAGGAGGATCGGCAGGTCTGCCGGGAGGGCTGGCCAGCTGAGCTGCCAGACCAGCAGGCTCCCTTTGGCCTCTCATGGCTGCTCCCGTCCCTCTCTCTCGGCATCCTCAAGTGGTGGAACTTATAGCCGGCACACAAGACGACCCCCCCACTTTTAAGATGACTTTCTTGGCTTAGAAAGTCGTCTAATATGCCGATTTTTACGGTAATTATTAACTGTTGATTTAATTTAAATAGATATATTTATGTGTGCTGTTGTCAAGATGATTTGTATAATTATATTGTTTTGACCTGTTCCGAGTCCCCTTGGGGAGATTGAGTGGGATACAAATAAAGATAATGATGATGATGATGATAATGATAATTATACCCAAAGAAGAAAGTTGGATTTAAAAACGGAGGTGTAAATGAATAACATTACTATCCTTTAAATCAGATATTAACACTTTACCTGATTCATGTTTAAATGGAACAGTGATACAACTTTCCTTTGATTCTTCTTTTTCCATATAATAGATTTCTGAAGTGCCTTGAGCTGAAACACAATATAAAGTATTCTCTGAAGGAATTGGAATATATATGGTGCAGTTTTTGCGTGTGCAATCTTCTGGTTCTGGTTCATACTACAAAAAAGCAAAGTTTG